GGGGGGGGGGGGGGGGGGGGGGGGGGGGGGGGGGGGGGGGGGGGGGGGGGGGGGGGTCATTACTGGCGGTTAGGTCACCGCCGAGGTGTAGCTAACAACAATGATGAGAGCAGTGACATGGCAGAAAGGTTGTACAATACGAAGCATCGGCAAGGTCTCCTCTCAAGGAACAAACAGCAGTCGACCCTCGTCAAAATCAGTTCCCAGGGTCTTTCCTACACAACGCGTTGCCGTCTCTGACAATAATCCCGCGACGCGCACGTGCTGCACACAACAGCGGGAGCTTTGTCGTTCATCAGCCCGCGTGGAGAACAATCCCCGAATACCAGAAAGAGGCTTCGTGGCAAAATGTGTGCTGCTCAGGAAATCGTCGAAAACAGGTAGCCTCCGCTGATGCTATGGATTCATTGCTAATCTATTACAGACTCTTTTCTATAGATGAGAGATGGCTTCTTCCGGTCATTTCAAAAAGAAGAAAAAAAATAATGGGAGCTGGGCGCGGCAAATTTTCGACTCTGAAGATACATCGGTTGGTCAATTTCGGACTGATTGTTCCAAGTAGTCACAATCCTGGCCAGCAGAAGAAGTAAGCGCCGACTAAACGAGCCGCGTTTCGCCCGGCAACAAGCCCCGACCGCCGCGGGCGAGAAGCGGCGCGTTTGCTTGCGCGCGTTGCCAGAGCGCGCAAACAATATGGAGCATGGCCTTCGTAGTAGCAAAGCATCAGGTGTCTCAAACATGCACCGGTGAAGAGACGTTCGTTATTTTCTGGTCGATAGCCGCCGGCAGCTGCGCTGGAAGAGGCGGGTAATACTGCTGTAGGAGCGACATACTAGGTATGGGGGGGTGTTGAGCCGCGTGGTGCAACTCAAAACCTTGCAGATCTGCGATGCTGATGGTGCCCGAATCCCGACACACACCAGCGTGAATTTGCTTGTGGTGCAGCTACGCGTGCACCACAGAGGGACAGCCGGCGTGCGACGGGAGCGACGATGATTGTGCGGCTACCGTTCAAAATTTTGCACAGCCGTTGTTTCGTTTCCGTTTCGATGCACATGCACGAAGAAACAAAATGTTCAGATTTCCCGCCGTGCGGACGCAAACCCGCACATCTGGACATCTGGGCATCTGGAAGAAGCACACACATGCGACATCCCACTGGCGGCGAGCGTATCACACATACATGACACCGTCGAGGAACACGACCAGCAGCGTAGACATGAGATTGTGACACGACAGATGGCTCATATTGCGTCAGGTTCACAACTTTCCCGCCACATTCGTCTCAAGCCTTCCGAGTTTCCCGCCCAAGTGAAAGCAAGCAGTCCAGCATGAACCAAAAACAACGAAAAACCGTGGATGGTCATATGACGTCATGACTTTGATGCGAGAGGCCGAGAGGCCATGCAGGGCTGCAGCAGCAACAACAGCATGCAGGGCACGGCTTTCTTTGCGAAGACAGGCAGTAGCGCGGCGCTAGTACGCAATCTGAACCGATCCCGCGGGCAACCATCCTGATAATGTACAGCAGCAGCAGTAGTAGACCCTCATGCCCTCGATGGATTCTCTCGATGATGGTATAATAGGTGTGATGTGGACTTTTGTGGGAAGGTGTGTTTTTTGTGTGATCATTGGTCTGCTCTTGTTGAAGCCGTCGATTGGGCCCACTCAACATCAATGAACACTCGCCAGGTTACACATGGTGCATGCCTACAGTATACCCACGGTGCACAGGTCGTATAGGCCCGGCCCCTCCTGGTTTTCATAGCTGGTCTCAGACCAGCGTCTCAGCGGTGATGCGTTCGTTGGTGGTGTTCTTGGGTCTCTTTCGCTGCTTCTTGTCCTGGTCTGAATCGCGCGCGCCCGCGATCTCCGCTTTTGAGCACGATTTTTCGCGCAGAAACCCCCGGGGTGGGGAGCAAAATCTCTTACGAATATAGGCTACATATGCCGGTGAAGCACGGGCATCTGCTCTCGGAGCACACCGAAACCGGTGTGGATAAGAGCGCGCTATTTTTCTTCTTCCTCAGAAGCGAGCAGATCGTCAATCGGTGCCCTGTAGATCTCGTTCTGGTTCCAAAGGTGTGCCAAATAGGCTTCCCGGAAACCAAGTTTTGGGGCCCCTGGATCGCGCGGCCCAACTTTGGCCGATACATACTAATAGAGCCTTTCTTTCCCTACTGGGAACGAAGTAAAGAAATGTACAACAGCCGCGAAGTGCTTTCAAAAAACAGCAAGTTGTCAAACGATACTGCTGCTAGGTTCCCTGTGAAGGCCACATTCCAGATAAAGTGAAGAATGTATCCACCTATACAGATGCTCTTGTTCTTAGCTCCAACTGGCGTTACTGATAACTCAGTGGTAGGCTCACACAACCTCAAAATAAGCCAAGTCTCCAGTTGGTTTCAATCCACTTACTGAAAAGACTTCACCACATCCCTTTCGACTGAGGTTACATCTCGAACGGGTAGTCTTTCTGTGGGGTTATGTTTACTTTCTACCAAAAAAAAATGTAGCTCGCTCGCTCCGCGGCTCAATACAAGTTGTTTGATTCCCCAGTCGAAAAGGCAAAAAACAACAATCCAACCCTCGGGTGTTGATTACGAAAACAGCGTGTCCTTCTCTACGGCTACTGGCTTCGACTCTGCTCTGGACCCAACTCCATTCATCATCCATCTCTTGTGCATATGTTTCGGCCTTTCTCCGTGTCTTTCTCTTAAACTCTCGACAAGCTGTTCCCTTGAAGGCGAGGCACGCGATCTTGCAACAGAACTAACTGGGTCTGTGTTCACTGCTGTTGAGGAGACAGGCGGGCTTTCACGCATGTTGTTTTGTGCCCGCATGCCTAGAGGTCGTGGCAAGTATCAGACAAGTCGAACTTGTGCATACAAGGAGGCGTAGGTTAGAGATCAGACTGATGGCGGTGCTGCCTTCCACCTCCTCTTTGCTCGCCGGTATGCACCCTGTCTCCCATCCACCGCAAAAGCCCGCTCGATGTAATGAGTAGGATTGGCGCACGATGAGCGCTCTCATGCTCTCATGTACCATTTGAACCTCTCCCATGCTCAGAATCATTTGGCTGAGGTTACGCATAGCCTCACCACGCGGCCACAGCGACACAATATCTCACCTCTAACGCAGCTTGTGGGAACTCATGACAACAGACCTTACGTCAATGATCTTGCCTCCACCCAGATCAGCATGATCGATCAAGGCGCAAAGCTTAAGCTTTGCTTCAAACCAGAGAACAGGCGCAAACAAGGACCAATTCAAAAACACCGTCCGTTGTCCTTACCTGCGCATGTCCGGCGAATTTCCTACTCGCGGCAGCGGAGAGGAGGACAAAAATGCCAGGCATGCCGTAGGGCACACCAGAGCGCAAGCGGATAGAGCTCGGAACTTCATCGCGCAGCACGTAGTCCAGAGATGAACGCAAAGATGAACAGCTCAACCAGGGCAACCCAAGGGCCCAGGCCATGAAAACCTCCCGACAGCAACAATGTACATACCCCTGAATTTCCTCTATCGGCCCCCCTGCTCTGGTTTGACCACCGACCACGGCACAGCAGTCGTCAACCCCCCTTCTTGTCCAAGGACAGCCCTCTTCAGCCATGGGTAACGAGACCGTTCTGGAGAGCGTGCAGGTGTTCGGTCGCAAGGTTAGTTGGCACGGCGGCACCCCTGGCGGCCCCCTTTGCGTAAAGGGGTGAGATTTTGTGAGAGGTAGCTGTGGGGGGCCCCTGTGGAGCGACGCAATCCATTCGTGGCTCTGTGTGGCTGCTTTAGGCCCCTCTGTTCACCTTCACTACGTGGTGCCTTCCCTCTGAGAGAGGACAACCAAAAGTGTTTTTGCGTTCAAAACAAGGGCGATCGGCTGCCAATCCTTTGATTGCGCGCCACGCTCGGCGGCCCCCTCTCTCATGCGGGAGGGGTGAGATGCTCAAGCTCGCTAGGGGTACACACCCTGAGGCAAACCGAGGCCCACGAAGTTCGTGAGGCTTTGCGCAGCTAGCTGACTTCTCAGCCGAGAGAGAGGGAGGCAGAGCCGCCGCCCCCTCTATTCTCCTGGACGGGTAAGGGTGCAATGGTGTGCGACGTGAATGTGTGCCGTGTGAATGACTCGTGTGTCGGCACGGCCTTGCGTAGGCTTCTCGGATGTCGGTCTCTACGCTTGTAGACCATGCGGCGGCTCAAATCGCCTGTTGTTTCCGGTAAGGCTCCTTGTAGCGAGCCGGCAACACATCTATTTACTGCTGGTCTACATCGTAGGTTTTGCGTTGCTCGCGTTTGCCTGTAGACCCACTGCTGTAATGATTGAAGCCACGGGTCCGCGTCGGCCATTTTGCGAGTCGACTTCAGTAGGTTGTCAGGTCCTGTGGTGCGAATTGCCCAGTGTCTGAAGCACACACGTTTATCGCCAGCATCTTTTGGTGTGTTAGCTGCAATCCGCGGCCAGAGTGTACTATGCACAGCAGCAGCGCTAGACTAGATTTCCCACACGTTTCTCCTCGTGAGCCATGATGTAACTACAAAGAACGCTAACTACGTTTTGGTCGGAACCAATGATGTCGACTATCTCTGTGGTTCTGAGTGCTCTTCGTCTGGAGGTCGTCGGAAGTTGATTTTTTTTTGTGTTAACTTCAGTATCAGCGTTGACAGCATTTGTGCCGTTTACTCCAACCCATGGTTCCGCAGCAGTAGTCGGTAGTTTTTTTTTTTATCCTTTCTCCGGCCACATGGGGAACGATAGCAACGCACGCCTTCCAGGAGCGAGGGATCCACACGGGTGTGCTTCGAGATCGTGCAAGCAGCGCATTTTTGAGTTCAATAGCGGTGCCCTCTTTCCCAAATGTCTCATGTGGACTGCTGTCAAACATGTGGTTTCGATGGACATGTTGGGGCTTGCCGGTTATTGAGGGCCTGTTCAGGTCAAAAGCGAAAAAGTACCCCTGTCTGGCTTTGACGCTATTAGGGTCCAGAGACCAAACCCACACTAAATCCGGATGGATGAAACACCGCCGTTTGTGGTATTGGTGTTTGTACCGTCAGAATTGCACGGTAGACTGCTGCACCATGTATCACGTTCAAGGGCAGTCTGTTGCTCAGCCGATGCTGCGTTTTCGCGCTGTCCTTAGCTAGATCAGTTTAACAACGGTGGCGTACCGTTGGGTGCCGACAGCAGCACACATTTTTTCGCCCCGACTCTTCATGGCTCTCCTCGGACCTAGCGCTTTAGGCCGGAGGAGGGCCATGAAGAGTCGGATAAAAAACGCCTATTGCTGTCGGCACTCCAAGGGAGGCCGCCGTTATTTTAATGGTACCCAGGAAAGCGCGGTGTATGCCCCGACCGCATGAATGGAGCGTTCCTGCCGGTGTCGTGTACAACTAACTGTGCACATCAACAACGGCCGTGCCCCGGATTTACCTGTAGTAGTCGGATGATACGGCCGTTTACGGCCCCTCATATGCATAAATAGTCGTGACCGCGTTGTGTGCATTCCAACGGCTTCTGGGGGATGTGGGGAGTTGCAAGCGGTGGGTGGAAGAGCCATGATGACCTCTTTTTGACGCTAACTACGTTGTGACTGAAATCAACGATGTCGACTTATCTCTGTGGTTCTGAGAGCTCCTGCCCACCCCCCACACTTGCGGATCTCCCACCGCACCTCTTCCCTCGCCTTGTGTGTCGCCTTGAAAACACACAGCATTTGTGTTGCAGTTTGGCATGTACCTCGTTGTGTTTGTCAGTAGTGCAGAAGACCACTCGGTCGGTCGTGGTTTTGCGGCTTGGCGTCAGAAGCGCGTATGTGTACCCTTGCAGTGCTCAGTTCTTTTCGTTTATTGATTTTTTTGTTGCAAAAACACATCAATGGATGATGAGTCAGTTTTGTGTGCGTTATATATACCGCATGTGACAATGAATACATAAAATCTGTGCCATACACAAACAAATGTACAGCCAGGTCCTCCTCGCACCCTCCCCTTCATGGTTACGCTCAAGCCACGGCCAATCATCGCTACCCCCGACACGCCCCAACTCGTGCATCCATCCTGTCGAGCAGAAGACCGCTACTGCCGTCGCATACTGCAAGCGCGGACGCGGCCTGATCAAGGTGAACGGATGCCCCATCGAGCTCCTCGAGCCGGCCATCCTCAGGGTGAAGACCTTTGAGCCTGTGCTCCTCCTCGGCCCCGCGAGGTTCTCCAACGTGGACATCCGCGTCCGCGTCAGGGGCGGAGGTTACACCTCGCAGGTGAGATACACTATGGGCAAAAGGTGGCCCACTTGTCTTCCAAACAATAAACCAAGAAAACAATGTTTAAAACATGATAACCTACCATTTTCATTTGTGTGTTTCTGGGTGGTGGTGGGGTTGCGAGAACGTTGCATTCTTCGGTGCGCAGGCTTCCCTCCTGACACGTACTTGCCAAGGGGGGTGGTGTGCGTACGTCTGTCGAGACATTTAGGAAAGCAGGAGCGGCGCTTTTGGTGGCGAAAACATTGTCGCATTTGTCGGTTGGCAGGCTTCGCGTCGTACACGCAGGGCGAAGAAACTATCTGTGCGAAGGTCTTTAACTGTTAGGCTGAAGAACATCGCGGAAGAATTTGTGATGCATGTTGGTTATTTGTGTGGACAACCACCGGCCCACGGTAAAGTCCAACGCCACCTCCCTTCTCTTTTTACCCCTTGCCCCGCCCGCATCCCAGATCTACGCCATCCGCCAGGCGATCGCCAAGGCCATCGTGGCGTTCTATCAGAAGTACGTGGACGAGGCCTCCAAGCGTGAGATCAAGGACCTCCTCATGGCGTATGACAGAAACCTCCTCGTCGCGGACCCTCGCCGCTGCGAGCCCAAGAAGTTCGGCGGTCCCTCGGCCCGCGCGCGCTACCAGAAGTCGTACCGTTGATTCCTCCGGCACATGGCTGGCGCTTTTTTGACGTCTGTAGTTGGGGTTAAAACGCTTGGTCGAGGATTGTGGGTTGCTGGGCTTATAGCGCTGGGTGCCGAAATCTGAGGTCTGTTTTGTACTCTTGTTGGGGCGCTTGGAGGGTTTCGTTTGAGAATGCGAGGGTGTTGCTTTTTTCTGGCGACAAGAGCTTCGTCCTGTTTTCGTGTTCGCATCCTGCCGGCTGGCTGACTGCTGTACGACTCGTTCGCGCTTGGCGATAAGTCGTCAAATGAAAAGGTCATGGCGACCGTAAAACCTGTCACCGCTGTGTGTTTTTGGTTTCTCTTGAGTTTGCGCCCGACATCCCTAGTGGGGTGGTTTTCCGCTACTTCACGGTGCTGTCCATTTGCATGCATACATGCATCTTGCGACCCCGCTGGAAACCCCAACATCTGTTGCCCTTCTTGGAACCGTCTGAAATATGCCTTTGATGGACTATATTATCGGCCCACTATCAAAAAACCCCGCTATTTAAACATGTAGAATTGTGGCGCAGCCGAAACTCGTCCCACAACTTTCATGGCGTTTGCGCTGCCGTCGATCGGGTCGAGACAGAAGAAATGGCGGAGATCGTGCAGGATGACATTTTTTCACGTCAGCAAGGCGGCAACACAACGCCGGGTGTTGTTTCACCTGAAGGCGTTCCGTCCTCCACCCTCTTCCACGAGGCCTTCGGGGCGTGACGTAAACGTTGCTGTGACTTTTTGATCCTTGCGGTCGTTCCTCGCCGTGTGCGCCCCGTCACCTTCAAGCTGCTGCGACTTTTCGATCATCTGTGGGCCCGCGCAACATGCGTTTCTTGCTACCATTACTATCCTCGCATGGGAAAATTCTCGTTGTACAGATGGTACTACAAAAGAACGTAGCAGTGATGAAATTGAGACTCGCAAAAAATCATAAGCTAAAAACTTCAACACCATTTGTGAGCTCGTTTAAGAACCCCACCCTACAAACCTTAACAGCGGCCATTTGTAGCCTACAAGAGGGTGGTCAGCAAAACAAGAACCCCAGCCTCGGCCGAAACTAGAGGTTCTTGTGGTACCACAAGACTCGTGTCATCTTTCGGAAAATCGTATCACGACAGGAGCGGCTGGCAAGACACGCGCTCACAATTACCCTGCTCCCATTGTCTACCAATGCGCGAGGTGTTCTACCATGCGACCAATACAGCAGTGACGGAGCATGCACGTTTCCCATGTGTTGAACCTTTGCTATTTAGTGAGTGGTTGGCGGTAGCACCGGGCCGACCCGGAATCGGCACGGTTCTAAGCCCTCCACCCCTGCTTCCACGTCGTCGCCCACCGCCAGAGGTGCTACCCCTTTCGGGGTTCCCGTAAACAAGACGTCTCCGGCCTCAAGGGTGAAGAGCTGTGCGATTAACGGCAGTGTTGGGAGGCGATAGGGACGTAGTTGATCAGGGGTGTACGACCGTGCATGGTGCGAATAGCTTGCGAGATTCGGCACTGAGAATAGGTGTTTGCCTCTTGAACGTGAAGAAGCTGTGCGATTAACAGCACTGTTGGGGTAGTCTATGCAGTGTTTTGCCATGCATCATGCGAATACCTTGCGAGTGCTGCAGGAGGAGAGGTGAAGACTCGTTTTCTGACGGGTGTCAACAGCAAAGACGGCATGGGGGCGACACGCGCATGGATCCCAATGGCACCAAGCTCAACACAACAGGGATGCTACGGGTTGGTTCGAAACTCTAAGGTGCACGCACATGCGGTGCGACAAAGGAGGGTTCACGGAGGGAAACAGATTCAACAGACTGCGACAACGCTTCGACGACACAAACCCATCCCACGCGCACCTATATCTCTTGCCAATGATTGCCACCCAACTTCAACAACAGCTAATCGTCTAGACTACTAGGATACTACAAGGCAGGAGAAACGACGCACGACCGCGAAGAATACACCAAGCCCGTCCGAAGAAAGAAGGCGGTACCCTTCCCCTCGCCCCCCCTCACCTCCGATAACCTGGCGATCATCTCGGGGACGCTCCACACCATCTCCCCGAGCACCGAATCCTGGCGTCTGCCCCCCCCCACCTCCAACCATATTCGCCGGCCCCCCTCGTCTCCCACGAGTCCGGCGGCAGCGCCTACCCCCCCGCCCTTCGCCGGGGGAGTCGTGGTCAGGGCACCGATGGGTCCAGAGCTGTCGAAACCCTGCGGCAGTTGCGCGCCGGTCAACACAAGCAAGGCGCGAATACAAACGCGAGCGCATGTAGTTGTATGCAGCCTGCTAGCTGATGTATGCAAACCACCAAGTTGTAGACTCCAGAAAATGCCAGCACCACCACGGAAAGGTCGAACGGCTTGCTAGAAAATAAAATCGTTTCATTTTATTGTTGCGAAACGAAACGGTAACAAAAAGGAACTACGAAATGTGGCACGTGGAACGATCCATGGAAACCGTGCAGGGTTGGAAGGAAATCGGGGGCGGGACAAGGGTAGGGGGAGGGGGGGTTGCTCTGCCAACGATTTGGCAATAGCATTTCTAGTTTCCAACGATACAAGTGGCAGAAGCTTGTCACCGGCGTGGCACACGTCACCTCTGTGTGCTTCACGTCTGGCACTGACTCCAGAGAAGTTTGCAAACAGCAGGAGCACAGGGCCTTTAGTCGAGCGAATGCACACCGAATATCTCAGGCAGGAACCGCAGAAGGGGGTCCAACCCCCCCCTCCTATGTGACCCCGGTTGGGTCGTCTAGCTGGTAGAAGTGGAGGATAGGGGCCAAGGGTAGACAACAGAGTCCAATGATGGGAGCAACAAAAACAAAAAAAACCGACACGCGCACTACGCTTTTCGTGGTCTTGATCTTGTGCGCGCACCTTGCTACAGTCCCACGGGCGACCGGCCTTCTTAGCCGCACGCTGCATGTCTCGCCGAGTGAGATCCACACCAACGCCGTAGGCGAAGACGTGTTGCAGAGCATCTCGCGGTGGGATGCAACGGCCGCCTACCAGCCGTTGGGTTACACAAAGCATGTCGTCCTTGTTGTGTTTATGATGTGTCGATTGTTGTCTTTTCGAGTGTAGTCGTGTACAGGAAGGGAGGGGGATGCAAAAGAGGTGCTGGAAAATTCTGCCGTGCTCCAAAACTGCATCGTCCACAACGAAAAGCTGCTGCTATGGCGGCTTCGCGCTATTTGAGCTGTTTAACACTGCTGCTGAAGCGTATCCAAAATCTTGTGCACCTGTTTGAGTTCTCTCCTTACCTCGAAAGCCAACGCCCTTGCGGCGAAATTCCGTACGACCTTCCCGGTCTTGGGAGACGCTTAACATCCAGTCACACGTTACAATACGACGATGTGGGCCAGTTCAATCGTACGCACACCTACCTACACACCGATCTGCACGACAATGAAGTGTGCTGCACGAAAGCAGAATATCAACCATACCCAATACGCAAGGTTTGGTGTGTTCCCTATTCTACACATCAGTACGTCGTTTGCCGCGAGTGCTTCAATCAGCCGCTGCTTTTGCGTTTCTAGGGCGACAACAATGTATTGCCCTTTTTCGGCATGGACGTGTTCAGCACAAAGAATGACCTCTACCAGGTACCATCTCTTTAGAGCGGCAGTCACCGCAGACCCACCCTTCCCGATGGCAACGACCATCTCCACCTCGTGCTGGAGATCTTCCGTCTCCGGCGGGTAGTGGACGACCGCGCCGGCCGCGGAAACGTCGACGGCGGCGTCCGGTGGCTTGGTGAAGAAGAAGGGGGGTTCTTTGTCCGGGTTGCCTCCCATCTCTAGCGCGTGCTCTCTGCGAGCATACGCGTGGGCGGGAACAGGGGGAGGTGGGTTACAAGAGGCCCGCCCTTGGGGGGAAAGCACAGCGGGGTACATTTGTCGTCGTCCCCAGCAGTCTTCGCAGTGTTTTGGTAAGGTAAATGTACAGCAGTCGTCTTGTTAGTGGTTAGATTAGACTATAGTCTAGAATCTGAAGTTGGTGTTGGCAGTTGCACGTTTTTCCTACCCCTCTGTTGTGAGCGTAGGTTGAACATGTGTGAGCTCCGCCGAGGTTGTTGGGACCATCAGTGTTCAACGAACCTACCAGCTCTTCCGCTCTGGTACTTTCTAGACGGCGAGACGTCGAGCTCGCCTCTGTGTGATGCTAAAATGAGGACTTAGTTGGACACGGAAATCGACTCGGGGAAGGGAGGAAGGTGCTACGGGCGTGCACTGGCTATTTGCGATGCAACTCACCTTCGTGCGGAGACCTGGCTCCTGGCTCACGTTGGCTCGTGCCACTTATCAACACCCAACTTCGAGCGCACTCTGTAATCCCTGACTCGCCTGTAGTTGCTTCCCACGCAGTACACACGCCTGACGGGGAACTTCCGGTCGGAGCCAACCACGGCCAGGCTTGGGGTAGCAACCCTGGGCACGGCGTACTGGAATTCCCCCGCCCCACTACTCCCACGTCTACTGCAGTGCAACTGCACCGCTGTCGGTGGCGGTAGCGTCCCGCAAATGAAGGTGGCAGCGCGCTTTGCCGTTGCATAGCGCAGGGACCTATAGCAACCAAGCAAGGAGCTGCGGTGCGACATTTCACACTCCTGCTCTGCGCAGCGAGTGAAACCTGGTACACCCTGCACGGCGAAGTTCGTTGGGCGGTAGGCGGCACAATAAGGGGCGGGGGAGGCAAAATGGGTGCCGAGCTGTCGAACCCCCGCGTAATTGCCATATCGTGCGCTAGGCCGAGTGCTGCCGTTGCTTGTGTTGCTGCGTGACACACAACCGCCTGTGTGGGGGCAAGCCGGGGGTCGCATCGAGCCAGGCAGGAGTGGATCGCCTTCATGTCGGGGCTTGAGAGCAAAGTCGCCGAGAATGGCGGGGACGCAGTGGCCCCGCCAGTGGATGTGTCAACCGAGATGAAGGTGGTGGCACCAAACCCGGACACAATATCTGCGGCTGAGGCTCTCAAGCTGGAGGGAAATGCTCTGCTGGCGGGTGAGCCCCGGTTTCTTGCAGCAGAATGTAGGTGGGGGGGGGGAGGTATAGCTTCGGGTGCGTAGTGGATCGTGCTTGGGATCCCTTTGGCGTGGTGTGGCTGCGCAGCACCGAGCCCCACACGAGGGAGACGAAGAATCGGGACGTTTTTTTTCAACAACACAAGACAAGAAGCAATTTTCGTGTGTTTGAATGTTCGCGCTTGCTGCTGCTGCCTCTGAACTTTGGAACGAAGAGCGTTGGTATAATTCACATTGATTTTTGCACATAGACAGAGACTTGATACTCCCCGTCTGCCACGTTGTGGGCGCCACGACGTCAACCATGCATTTTTTGCCCGTGTCTCTCGTCATCCACACAATCCCGTGCATGTCCCCCCTCGAGGCATGGTTAAGATCGGTGGGTGCGTGCACGCAGTGCCCTATGATGGTGTGCATCCAACCAAGCGTCCACCGATAAGCATATGAAAACCTGCTGGTGCGTTGTGTTGTACAAGAAGGAAGTACGTAGTCTACATGTAAGCACTCATGTACATGCGGGTTGCGCACCGACTCTTTGCCTTCCGAATCTTCTTCTTTGAGTTGTTGAAGTAATCGCCCGCACTCGGAGCTCGCCGGCATAAGATGATGGGTCAGCGAGCGTGTGTCGGAGCACTATTCATTCCCTTGGGATGCATCAGTCTCGTTTGCCGGCCACGAACGGCTTGTAGTAGATACGTACGTGATCGGTATTTTCGCACACGTGTAATCGTGCGCCTGCTGAAAATGTGCTGCATGGATTGGACGTTGACGTTGTGCCATGGACGAAGACGTATTCCACGTTACAGCAGTGCTATTTATAAGTACACAATTCCGACGACACATGCATATGCATCCGGCAGTACGACAGGAGTGCTGCACCGCTGCTGTATGCAGACCTCGGTAGCTTTCACCGTTCGGTTTGGCTGTCGCCCCGTAGGAGCAATACCGGCAGCCTACAGTACGCATTTGTGTCTCGGCCTGCCTCACAAACGTTCTTCCGAAAAAACATGTGAGAGAGAACACAGCAGTTTGTCCGCAAACGTCTTTTCCAAACCCCGCTATCCAGTGATTCGACGTGAAATCGATGCTGCTACCTGCCTGGTCCTCTCAGCTGTCTCCGCTTGTGCGCCACCATGCCCGGGGCCCCCGTAGAATAGTTGTCGGGAGAACCGACGAAAGCGCTTGCAGCAGCAAGCACCAACGCAACAAAAGTTTTAATCCAGCGATACAGCAGTGTGTGCACCTCTATGCATGTGTTCGTCCCATCTATTCCAGCCCCAGTCTGCGCACCAGTCGATGTCTGTGTGGAATATCACGGATCATTTGGTGTCACACAGGGGGCAGGAGGTCGCCATACAACAAAGCTCTTCTCTACAGCGGGTGTCCACGGAGTAGAACCGTGTAAAATCCTTTTTACTATTAATATTTAGTTCGCTTTGTATTATCACGGGGCGGCTTATCCGGGGGCAAAATTCTCATGTACAAATAGAAGTGAGTTTTTTGTTGCTCATGTCCTGGGGCGGAGCGGCTTTTCCGGCGGCACGTCGTGCTTCTCACGTAGTGGTTAGGTGTTTTCTCTGTACAACTAGTAGCATAAACCGCTCGTAACCATGGCCTTGACGATGGTGCACCGTCAGAAAGGACGAATTGCCGAAATCATACAGGCTGGTTCAGGGAAATGGATACAACAAGATTCAACAGCAAAACTTCACGCCGTTTGTAGGAGTTAGACTGAAACTTTGCACACATGTTGTTGTTGTTGTCTTCACAGTAAACCGTACGTCAGTCGCTAAATGCCAAAATCTAGCAAAAGACTCTCAGCCCGTGGTCACGAAAGTGCTAAAGCCATCTGAGGATCTAAAGAACACGCACACATGTAACGAGAAAAAGGTATCCAAGAGCCCGAAGAGGTACACCTAGAAATCCCTGCAGCACCGTATGCGTGCCCAAAAACTGAACTGCACGTCCGTCCCACCGTTCGACTACAGTAGCATCACCCCCTCCCTGTCCCACTCTATACCAAAACGGAAGATTGCCGACTACAGCATA